TCCCAAGCATTTCTTCACACCTGTTTTCAAGGAAACCCCTTCACCAAAGGTATATCTCTCCTTCAACGTTTGACTTTACCAGGCTGTCAGGAAGCAAGGTACCTACTCTTCTCCGGATGGATCAGGAGAATGGTCTGTTTTTAAACAGCCTCCCGTCCACACACCCACTAGAGCCTAGATGACGGGGTTTGCCATGGCCGCTGAGCCATGATCACTCCGGTTGAAGACAGATGGAAAAGACCAAAATTCTAAAGGTTAAAAGTGAGCTCTGAGCACGGCTGCCAAGGCACCTGAGGCCCCTGCTCTCCCCATCCCCTGCCCCCTGAAGCCAGCTACCCCGAAACCAACCAAGCCAAGAATCAGAAAAGCTTGCTCTGCCCAGGGCCACAGAGAGAAGCGGGCAGGGGGGAGGCGCGTGGGTGAGAATTCACACCAGGGGAACACACAGCGTCCATGTCGCCCTCCCCCACCCAGCGGAATTTTGAGCCTCCGACCCCCGGGGGACGTGGACAAGGGACTCTGCAGGCTGGAAAAGTACCACCCGACCGACCCACCCCTGGGCTGGGCTTGGACCCTCTGCTCAGCCACCAGCCACGTGCCTCTCCTTTTTCAATGCTTTTAATAGTTTTCAGATGGTGAGGTGGTTGCGCTGGTCAGAGGCTGTGCTGGTGGCTGAGAGCAGCCCCGTGCCTGCCCCCAATACTCCTGCCTCCAGGAGATTCTTGAAAGGGACCACACTCCCCTGTTTATCTCAGGCAATAGAATGTCATCTCCAGTCTGGTCCCGCCTCCTCCTCCCCACAGAGTCTCCCACAAGCCCAGGAGAAGGGGTGCTTCTGGCCTCTCCTAGGAGCTGACGACGTGGCCGGACCAGGTCTCGTGCTTGGTGCCCGGTGCCAGGTGAGTTATGACCACCTCCACGGCCTGCAGCTTCTCGTTCTTGGGCGGGATGGAGCACATCTTATAGGTGACCTCGTCGCCTTCCACGGGGACGTACTCCCCTTCCACACTGCAGAAGAGGGAGGGAACACTCAGTGCCCAGCACTCAGAAGAGCCCCATGTGAAGCCCCAGGACACCAGCCCCCTGCTGGTCAGAGGGCCACCCTTCCAGAGGAACTGCCCCTTCTGCCCTGCCATCAGACAGGCGGGATGGAGCACATCTTATAGGTGACCTCGTCGCCTTCCACGGGGACGTACTCCCCTTCCACACTGCAGAAGAGGGAGGGAACACTCAGTGCCCAGCACTCAGAAGAGCCCCATGTGAAGTCCCAGGACACCAGCCCCCTGCTGGTCAGAGGGCCACCCTTCCAGAGGAACTGCCCCTTCTGCCCTGCCTGCCATCAGACGGAGCCACCGTGCTTCAGTGGCGGCCCACCACCCCAGCCTCTGCCTGTGGCTGAGGAGCCTCTGACGCAATCAGCTGCTTCCCTAGGAACCTCTAATGCTGAGACAAAGTTCAGCCATCTGGGGTTGCTCACTCCACACGGTAAACGTGGGGGACATGGGCCTTGTGGTCAGAAGAGCAGAGAGAGCCAGTGTGAGCCAGAGACACGAGCCCATCACACAGGAGCTGGGATGGCCCAGGTGCCCGCAGCACGCCTGCCCCCAGAGCCAGGCTGCACCTCTGCTCCGCGGTATTCCCCAGGGAGCCTTCGAGAAAGACCCTCTTGTGCTGAAAGCTAGTCCTAGGAAGGGTCCTCTCCCTTAGGACTACCCCCAGGAAGATACCTTCACTTTCTACAGGACAAGTCACCGTCCCACCATCATGGTGAGGGACCTATCTTGAGACCTCCTTGACGAGACCCTAGGAGTCCTCGTCAGATCCTGAATGTCAGAGCCAGCCAGCTCCCCAGAACTGGTTTGTCTCGAAGGAAAAATCGCATAGCAAATGGGGCTTCCCTCTTCGACTTGGCCACCAGGAAGCTCCCAGGAGTGGAACCAGGCGTCACAGTATCTATGGTCTTTCCTATTTGCCCCTACTCCGATGTTTTTCTTGCTAATTTATTTTTTTCATGGTGCCCCACGGGTACCGTTGCAACCACTAAAAACCCTTTCAGAAAACAGGCAATGTGGAAATACACTGGCAGACATCCACGTAAGTGTTCACACGCACATCAGATGCATTGTTTTGGCATCTTTCTCAGGTCTATGCTGCATAGGGCACCTACTTAAGACCTGATGTGCAATAATGTGGGGGGCGGGGCAGATAATGTCTACATCGCAGGAGATATTTGCAGTAGGACCTAATTTTCAAAAATGTGATTTCTGTCTATTGCCAGGTCTGCTGTGAGGGGCAGAATGTCCCCACCGAGTGAAATAAAGATCAGGGAGGGCATGCTGTGGCCAAAGAGTGGGGGAGGGTGGGGGTACCAGATCGGGTCCCCCCATATTGGAAGGCTACCTAGAAGACCGGAAGTGAGGCACCAGCTGCAGCACATCCTCCAGCCTCAGGGCTTAGGATGGGGGGGCCCCACCCCAGGCCCTCCAAGGGCTTCCCAACAATCAGGAAGGAAGGACGTCGGTGCCCGGAGAAAGGGTCCAGCTCCAAACTTCCTTCCTGGAGCAGAGGGGCCGGCAGCCCCCAGCCTCACCAGGCCGCTTCCCCCGAGGCAGGGCAAGAAACCGCCCAAAGCCCAAACACAGCTCCCGACTCCCAGGGGCGCCCCTCCCCACCCACCAGACACCCACGGGCACTCAGCCCCATCCTAGTGGTTCTCCACGCTCACAAACACACTGTCATCGACACACCAACACCACCAAATGGTCTCACGACCCCGCCCCTGCACACAGCCGCACGCCGGTCACACGTGCCTGGGCTCACACCTTTCTACCCAGTCCCCATCCCAGCCACACACTCTCCCTGCCTCTGAGGAAGCACGACAGTGCCCACCATAGCCCCGGACCACGCAGACCAGCCACTGACTCACTCGGAGATGTGCAGGAAGATATCGGGGCCGCCGTCGGCTGGGGTGATGAAGCCGTGGCCCTTGGATCGACAGAAGCATTTGCAGACTCCTCTGTAGACGGGGCCCTGTGAGGCCCTCACCGTCCTGACCGAGAGGGGGAAAGTGTGAGAGGCTGCCGCCAGCCCTCCGGGACAGCCACCGCCTCCTCTCCTGCAGCACACCCAGCTCGTCCCAGTCCCGGCCCACGGCTGTGCCCTGGGGCGTCCTGGCCGGGGCCACCGTGTACAGCCGTGCAGGTTGTGCACTGCACAACTCTGGGAGCCAGTCGCACAGAATCCAGTCAGAGTGACTCTCTGGATGACCTTGGCGGATTTCCTCAAGCCTCAGTTTCTCCGTCTGAGAAGAGGGAGCTAGACTAAAAGCTCTCTGAGAATCTTTCTGATGACAAATCATCAATAACAGCAGCAGCAGCCTCCCCTCATTGGGCCTGAGGTCTGCACCTGCCGGCACCACGTGGGCCCTTTGCAGCACTGTGGCCACACTGCTGCTGTCCCCATTTTGTAGCCAAGGAAATCAAGGTCTCATGGGAGATGAGGCTGGCACGTGGTGAAAGCCCAATGAGTTAAGACCCCAGCGACTTCCCCGCTGTCGTGACCTCGACCCCTTAACGCCAGCTGATGACGACAGGCTTGAGCAGGCCTGGGGCAGTGCCCTCCGGAGTTCACAAGGAAGGCACCTTCCCAGTTTCTCACCCTTACCCCAACCCTAAGTCACCCCATTTGACAGAGAGGGACACTGAGGCACAGAGAAGGCCAGACACGCAGTGACTCTCTGGCCTCGGGCGGAGGCCTGGCTCAGGAAGCCTCTCCCACACCGCTCCCCCCCACCCCCCGCTGCTCCCCTGAGACTCACGCGGAGAAGGTCCTCGTCCGGCGAGTGGGCAGCGGACTGGGGACCACATTGCCCCGGAGAGGGGATGGTGAGCGGTCGCGGACCCGTTGGGTGTCCAGCAGCCCAACCGAAGCCTGGTGGGTGGGGGGCTGTGGTGGCGGAGGAGGTTCAGATGACATGGCTGACCTGGAGAGAGACAGGGGGCTCTCAGGGGCTCACGCCTGGCAAACAGGGCCCCCGATGCAGCTCCACGCCCGCGTCAGAGAGTCTGCCATCTGCGGCTCGCTGGCTGTGGAATGCAGGCTCCAACTCACTCAGCCTGGAGGTCATGTCCCCGCAAACACACTGGCTTGCCCAGCTGGGTCGAGCACCTCCCCTGGGTTCTGCAGCAGCCATGGGCCTTCTCCACCACAGCTGCGCAAGGAAATGCCAGCTGATCCCCATGACAAGGATGCCCAGCACAGACCTGGGGGCACTTCGTGAGAGGGAGGAGCCAGGCAAGCGGGCAGAGCACACCACCTACCTAGATCAGGACTCCAGCTACTCAGCAGGCACTTCCTGACCCCTGCTAAAGGTCAGACACCTCGGGGAAGGGGAGGTATAAAAGGGAACAGCACGCAGGGTTCCTCCAGGAACCTCCGCAACACAAACCCAAGAGTGGCTCAGAACCCAAGTTTGGATCCCAGGGGCTGCCACAAGCCTACATCCAGGAGAGGGACCCAAAGGGACAGGGACACTTCAAAGGCAGCATCTCCACCGGGCCCCTAAACTCAGATCCAGGTGCTTCACGTGAATTTCCGCCCAGCCTGGGGGTTGCTGGCAGCAATGTTATCAGCCAGCGACGCCCCCAACATGCATCAGGGGTGGGTGTGATCAGAGCCAGCAGCGGGTCTGAAGGGGAGTGGGCTCCAGAGCAGCTGCCTTATGCAGGACGTGACCTCTGGACCCAACGAACAGCAGATATGTGACTAGACAACAAAGGTGCCGGCTCTCATGTGGCCTTGGCTCAAGGTCAAGAGGAAAGGGCAAAGCCCAGGAGCCAGAGGGCCTTGAGTAAGTCCTTTTCCCACTCAGGGCTTATTTCCACATCTGCGAAGTAGGACATCTGGGTGGGCGTCAGGCCCCTGCTCAGGGCTGGCGATGGGACTCGAGGCGAAGTGGAGGGGCCTGAGCTCGGACGTCACCCAAGTTCTCACGGTGAGAGGCTTTATGTGGCCCACATGGAGTTTTCAAATTTAAAACATGAGCTATCTTTTAAACATCCCAGGAGTTTGCCTCAAAATCCAGGTTTTCTGCTACTGTGCAAAAAACTAGCAGTTCTGACAATCCTGAACTCCCAGTTTGCCAGCTGCTTACCTCATTTACAGTAACTATGTGGCCTCGGGGCAGCAATGTCCCCTCTGCCCCCAACCCAAACCACCAAGAGCCAGGCTCGACTCCTCCCCAAAAGGACAACCTCTCCCAAACCTCCTCAGCTCCCGCCCTCCACTGTCAGGTCTCAGATCTGTCTGGCTGGGAAGGGAGAGGGCCCGGTGGCCTTCTGGAGGAAGTGACATAGCTACTACCTCCTGACTCTTCTCTCAGCTGCAGCCACGGCCAGGGAGGACCGTGAGACCGGGGAGCCCCCACCTCAAAAAGGCCCTGGCTGCTCCACTGGGGGTCAGGACTCCGGCATGACCCACCAGCACAGGTCATAGAGTCCTGGAATGTTCCAACACATGGAGTTCTGGGAAGAGGACAAGCCCAGAGCAAGGAGGGCCCTGCCCAGACCTCCCAGGACAGCAGCTGGGACCACAGAGGCCCCGGAGACACCAGGGTGGGACCACTGGCCCCAGAGACACCAGGGTGGGACCACAGTGGCCCTGGAGACACCAGGGTGGGACCACAGTGGCCCCGGAGACACCAGGGTGGGACCACAGTGGCCCGGAGACACCAGGGTGAGGTGGGGAACTGCTCTCACCCCTTCTACTCATAATCTCCCTCAGGCACATCGGACTCCAAATCACACCAATTGCTGTGTGATCTTGGGCAAGTTACTTAACCTCTCTGGACGTCGATGTCCATGTCTGGAAAATGGAGATTAAAATAATCCTGACTTCATACCATTATCATGAAGTTGAAGTGAAATAACACATGCCGGGCACTCAGCACACCTCCTGCCCAGAACAAGTGAGTGGTAAGTGTCAGCTATGATTGTTGTGTAACTGTCATCATAAAGTCATTCAACAAATTTGTGCCCAGGGCCAGGTCCTGTTCGTGGCACTAGAGACACAAGGCTGAATTTGGAGCCAGAGAATAAACAGGTAAATAGATATATGAGCAAAACCATTACAGATTGTCAAAAGGGCCGAAAAGAGATACACAGGAGATCAAAAGTAACGGGGTGTGGGAGGCGAGGCTTCCCTAATGAGAGTACAAGCTGGGCCCTAAACAATAAGAAAGAGTCAACCATTTGAAAAACAGGAGGCTCTTCCAGGCGGGGGTAGGGGGGAAAGCCTGTGCAAAGGCCCTGACCTTGACAAAGGCCCTGACCTTGACAAAGGCCCAGGTACAACTGAGGTCAGCAAGGAGACTGTGGTGGGCTCTGGGGATGGAGGGGTGAGACACAAGCGGTGAGGTGAAAAGAGGGTGAGGCCAGCTCATCATCACTACGCGAGTCTTTCCTCACACCCATCTGTCTGTCTGTCTGTCTGTCTGTCGCCACGCCCCTTGCCATGCCCATCTCCTCCTGGGTTAATAAAGCAGGCCCTTCTCTCGTCACTCCAGCCATCTCGACTCCCCCAAAACACTCGATCCCTCAGAGATGCCAAGAGAATCCCATGACCTATGCAGGCGAGCAAGCTAAGGGCGATACCGGGTCCCCCTGCATCCCTAGGGCCCAGCATTGACTGTGGCTGCCACTGAACCAGCATCAGATCCCACGGCCCCCGGTGGCATTCACTGTGCACTTGACTCTGTGTGTGCTCAGCGTCTCGCACAATCCAGCAGGAAGTAGCTACGTTCATGCTCACCTGACAGAAACTGAGGCATTGAAAGAGCGAGTGGCTCGGGGAGGGAAGGGAGGAGGAGCCTTAAGCAGCCCCCTGCCCCCTCTCATGGCCCCTCTGAGCGGAAGAGCAGCTGGGCAGCTGCAGCAGGCCTGGGCAAAGGCCAGCCCACCCCCATGGGCCTGGCGGGGAGGAGGAGGAGGAGGAGTGAATGGCTTCTGTGTGGGGGAGGCCTAGGTCAAAGTCCAGCTGTAAGGAAAACAGCTCACAGAGCGGGTGGCCAGTCACAGGCTCTGGGACTCATCTGCATGAGCCCCCCAACACACACACACATGGAGGGGGAGTGTGGCAGCCCCGGCCCCACCCACTGGCACAGTCCAAGCTTCTAACCAGCAACTGCTCTCCTAGCAACACCAGGGGTGGCCTTGGAGCACCCAAGAAGAGGCAGGGCCCACCCTCCGAGACGAGTCCACTATGAGATGAGCCCCCTGAACCCCTCAACTCCTTACTGCTGAGAGTTTACAAACAGGTGCCTGAAACTCAGGCTAACAAGAGGCCCTAGGCCCCTGGGATGGGCCACTGGCCTGCAGCAAACTCAGACCAAATGTCATGCCCAAAGCAGGCCATAGCTGCTGTGCTGTGTGTGCACGTGATTGTGTGTGTGCGTACACGACTGTGTGGGTGTGTTTGACTGTGCCCTTGTGTGGCACATGTGTGTGCACACAAACATGGCTCTCTGGAGCCATCTGTGCATCTAAACACATGCACACATGTGTGTGCATGCATGGGCCTGAGGACCAGGCTTGTCGCTGCCTATGTGTGCACACCAGTGAGCCAGGTGGGGCTGCACCCTGCCCCTAGCACGCTGGGTGCCTGCACTGGCACCAGACAACCTTAAACAATGTTGCCTCCTAATGGCCATCCACTATGTACAGGAAACAGGACCCACGACAGCAAAATTCCTGCTCTCCCGGGGCTTATGTGCAGGGACGGGGAGACCCCCACCCTCAGGACAGTAAGAGCAGCCGACAGGGGCCAGGCAGCATTATCAGCACTCCACACATCTAGGTTCATTTCATCCCCATTTCACCGAAGGGAAAACTGAGGCACAAAGTGTCAAGTGACTTGCCTGGCTCCTGCAGCTAATAAACAAACTGGTCAAACAGACAGCAGGTCCAACAGTGAAAAAGCAAGCAGGGAAAGGAAGTATTATGGGTGAGGGGCTGCATTTTTAAAGCAGGTGGTCCCAGGTGAGCCGCTGGCCATGCTTTCCCTTCCCCAGTCAGCACCCCTAGGTTCTGAGGCGTGCCCAGCCAGGGGAGGAGAACCCAGGGCTTGGGGGGTGGGGAGGAAGCAACTCCCACCCCGCCATCCCTCAGGGAGGGGTGTGTCAGCAGGGCCTTTACCCAGGAAAGGGCGGAGGAGGGGCTCAGCCCAAAATAGCTGGGAATTTTCCACAGGCCATACAGGTCCTCAGGGAGTTCAGCCCAGCAAGATCCAGTCTTCCTGGCCCCGCCTAGGCCCACCCACATATCTGGGGACTAGAGACCAAATCAAGCAGAGGCCCTGTTAACTCCCCAACCTGCCCTCTCGGCCTCAAAGCCACCAATTATGTCAAGGACAAATCTGTCTTTAAGCCAAGGAGCCAGTGGCTTACTCCAGGGAGGGGAGCCTTGGCAGTGCTGTCAGTCATTTACACTTTAGTGAAAGGGAGTTTGCAGTTCATTTCACAGGGCTCCATTCTTGGTAGCTTTCAGACCCTCAAGGGCAGGAAGATGGGGAACAAGAGCGGGGTTCAAGTTGGGAGCTTCATTCTCTGCATGGTTCTCATCAAAGCCAGGCCTCTCCAAGCCTATTTTTATTTCTGAGCTCCCCACTCTGAAAAGTGGGGGTGTCTTGAACCTTCCATGGGTTTCTGGTTAGGGGAGGCCAGGGCTGGGCATCACATTCAAACACCTCCCAGCCCCAGGTCCAGGTCCAGGCCACTGCTGGCAGGCAAGGATGAATCCTGGTCTACACAAATGGGGGTGGGGACAGCGAGGGCGTGATGTCCACTGTCCACTGACTTCTGTGTCAGGCTCTGTGTTGGTGTTTACTATGTTAACTGGATTCATCCGATGTGGATCGGCCCCACAGGGCTGGCACTGTAATCATCCCCATTTTACAGAAGAGGAAACTAGAGCACAGACAGGTGTAAGCCAGCTCTTCTCACACTTTACTCTGTGAGGATGGTGACTAAACGCTAACTCTGGTTCTGAGGGTGGGGAGTGAGGCCTGAGAGCCTGCATTTCTAAGGGGCTCGCAGGGAGGGAAAAGCTGTTGGACCTCAGAACACACAGCGGCAGTGTGGGCTGACGTGGGCTGGTGAGACTTGCCCACCTATCGGCAGTGTAAGAGGGTGGAAGGGAAACGGGGTGGGGGGCGAGGCTCTAGAACAGTCAGGGTCCTGGTCCATAAATTGAGGCAGAAATGCTCTCCTGCTCCCCGCTCCCCCGCCCCCCCACTCCCTGCCTCCAGCCCCGCTGAGACCTAGTCTGGAAGAACTGAGGACAGGAAAGCCAGGGGCAAGGTGAATCAGCTAAGCGGGCACAGGGGGGTCCCAGGAAGCCGGAGGGGCCCACCATGAGCCCCAGGCAGACAGACCTCCAGGCCACACTTCATTGTTCAGGAGCCTGGCTCTGCGCGGGGAGGGGTGGGGAGGGCCATGGCGGAGCGGGGGATGGAGGGAAAGGGAGCAGGGAAAGGTGGCACCGAGTCTTGGAGACGGGGAAAGAGGCAAGCCAGAGGAGTCAAAGGGGAATGGGGGAGTCAACGGGGAGTAAAAGGGGGAAATAAAGGGGACAGGAGGGAAGATCAAGGTGGGAGGTGTGGCCTGGCCGCAGCAAGCCCTCGCCCAGCCCCAGCCCTGAGCGGACCTGCCCTCACGGAAATACAAACGGCAGGAGGGTGCAACCCCGACACCCGCATCCGGGGAGCGGAGGAGATCGGCTGAGCCCCCTTCCAGGAGAGCAAAGCCGGAAACAAAGCCTCCCCCTTGGGGCCTCCGAGTGCTGGGAAGAGGCCGGAAACCCCTGGACCGGCATGCCGGGAACCAGAGTCCGGCCCTCCAGCACGGCCACCTGACCGCGTTAGCACCTCTGCTCGGCCCCGCCCCACAGAAAGATGGTTACCCGGCGCCCCCACCACCGGGGACCCTGCGCTGCCCCCGCTCAGCCCCGACAGCCCCTCCTGGGGGAGCGCAAGCCCTTGTAGGTAACTCGCCAACGCTGTTCCCCCAGCACCTCAAGCTCTCCGGTGCTCCATCCTTGCCTCAGTCCTACCGCCTCCCCGCCACCACCCTGGTGGCAGGCTGAGTTTCAGGCCTGACTCTGCTCTCTTCACTTCCTCTGTGACCCCTGACAAGTGACCTCACCGCTCCATGCCTTGGCTTCTTCATCTGTCAAAGGGGAAGGGGACAATAATGGCGCAACCTCCCAGGCCCGGGAACTTTGTACAGACCGGAGGGTGCCAGCGACAGTGGCCTGGGTCAACATTAGTTGAGCCTTTCCTGGTAGAACTCTCTGGCACGGCGCCATCTAGAATGATCCCTCCCATTCCTGTCCCTGCTGATGGGACACAAACCAAATGCCCTGACTTTGCCACTCGACAGGACAAAGAAAAACTAGTCCCCTCCCAAGGGAGCCTACCCTCAACCCCACCCCAGGATCCTGGGGGCCCAAGCTGGGTCCCGCTCTGGTCATTCCGACCCCCCGCCCCCCAAGATGGGTTTCAGGACCCTGTTCTGGCCCTGGAGGGGCTCCCGGGCCAGTGGGGTCATCAAGGACCCCAGGGAGTAGGGAACATAGGAGGTGGGGAGCTCCCTGACCGGAAAGAGGGAGCGAGGTCATTTCAGGAGTAGGAAAGTCACTCCTGGCAGAGGGACCAGCAGGCGCAAAGGCCCAGGGGAAGGGAGGGCGGGCAGGAGGCAGAGAGGGGCGGGAAAGATCTGTTGAGAAGTTTGGCACTTAGACGACAGTGGGGACATTAGTGGACGATTTTAAGCCAGGGGTTCTATGGAACCGATTGTTTTTCCGAGCTCCCCCTGGCGAACAGACTGGAGAGGCGAGACCGGGAGCGAAGAGACTGAGAAATATCAACAAAATAGCAAGTAAAACTGAAGAGTCGCTAACCCTTCTCCCCGCACTGGCTCTGCCATCTCCTTTCATTCTCACGCACCGCGCTACGCCAGGAAAAGTTGTAGCCCCGGTCTACAGAAGGGAAACTGAGGCTCCGAGGGGCCTCCTATTTTGCAATGAGACATCCCGGCGGAAGAGAACGAAGGCCTTGCCTGGAGCGGGGTGATCTGCGCTCCCCCAACTCCAATACACACATCCACTCCAATCCCAGAAAGGCAGTGAGGGCCAGGGGCTTTCTTCATAAAAACTGAAAAAGACGTGCGCTTCCGTCCTCCCATCGGGCTGCCAGCGAGGCTGGCGGAGATGGAGGCTGTAGGCGCCGGGTGAGTTTCCTGCATCGCCTAAGGGCCCCCCACCCCGGCGGCAAACACACTCGGCGAGCGCCCAGCGGCTCCTCCTCCCCCAGAGGCGGCCAATCGCTCGGCGCCAGGCTGGCTCCCACCTCCCCCGCCTGGCCTGGCCGAGGTCCCGTCGCCGAACCCACAGCTGGCGCGGTCGGCCTGGCTCCACCTCCTCAAGCGGCGCCCCCCGCGCCTCGCCCTACCGCACCACGAGTCACCCCATCCACGCTCCAGCGAACGGGCGAAAGAGAAGAAGGGGCAGAGGCGAGAAGGGGGCTTCCCCAACACGCACAAATCAGGCGGGAAGTGCTTGCTACCCGACTCCAAATCCCGCCAGCGGCTGCCACACCCACCCTTCCCCTGGGAGGAGTAACTCGCTCTCCCCAAAGAGGCCCTGGCGGCCGGCGCTTGTCCTAGGGGCCTGGAGGGACCCAGGCCGGAGCCCCCTGCCAGCGAGCTGGAAGACCCTGCACCACAGGGTCGAATGGGGGCAGAGGCGCAGGGGAGGCCGAGGTCCCATTCCGGCGGCTCCTGGGCCTCGGGGCTAGGGCACCGCGCCACACCCCTCCTGGGAGCCCGGGAGGAAGTCCCTACCTGTCCACCCGCTCGGCTCCGCCAGCTGCTGGGCTCCGACTGCGCGAGCGAAGCAGGGGAGGGGCGTGGTCCAGGGCGGGGCCGGAGGCCCCGCCCCGGACCCGCCTCCAGGAGTGCCCAGCCAATGGGGGCGCGGGCCGGAGCCCGGGACCGCCCGCGAGCAGCGGCGGGAGCAGCTGGGGCGGGCCTTTGTTTCCGCGCGCGGGACGCTCCGCCTCGGCCTGGGGGTGGCGACACGGCTCCTCGTCCCGCGCTGGGGCCGGGGGCAGGGACCGCCTGTGCTGCACCGACGGTCCGAAAGCTCCCCTGAAAAGTGGGAGAATCCTGTTTTCGCGCCGGTGCGGGTCCCTCTCCTAAACCCGCGGGTCTGGCCCGGCCCCCACCTGACCTTCGCTCCAGAATTCGGATGGGCCCCGGGCGCCTCCGTTTTAGCGGAGATTAAGTCACGACAGGAAGGAGTGAAGAGAGGCTGAAGGGAAAGAAACAAAGAATAGAAGGGAGGAAGAAAACAAAAAAGGCAATGCGAAGAAAGAAAAAGTGAGAGAAGGCTGTTGATTTCGTTCTCTCTTACGGTTTGTTTTGTTCCATCATTTTCTTAATTTCCACTCGCTCCTTGAGTCCTCTGTCTCTGCGGTAAAAGATGTTACTCATTTTACTGGAGAGGAAACTGAGGCACAGAGAAGTGACCGACCTACCCACTCCTGCGACCTTCACCCCCGCCCCGTCACAGCAAGTCGGGGGCAGCCCCGGACCCAGACTCCGGGAGAGGGGAGGCAGCTGGTAACTGGGACCACAGGGCCCAAGAGTGGGGGGCGGCACTGCGGGAGCCCAAGCTCTGCCTGCCACTCTCTCTCTCTCCCCACCTATCCCCCCACAAGCACATGGAGACCACTGAGGACACAGTGAGGAGACAGCTGTCTACAAGCCGGGAAGAGAGCCCTCCAACAGGGCCCAAATTGGCGGGCACCTTGATCTTGGACTTCTCATCCTCCAGAACTACAAGAAATACATTTCTGTTGTTTAAGCTGCCCAGTCTATGGCACTTCGTAATGGCTAAAACTGTCCCTTTTTCTTCCTTCTCCCAGTTTACCATTCACTGGATGTGTCGTCTATGCCAGGCTCTGTGTTTCGGGGCACTGAGCACCCAAAAATAAAAATGTGCCCACCCAGTCCCCGCCCTAGAGGAGCTGCACCCTGGAGAGGTGGCAGACAGGTCGATAACTCATAACCAATAACCAGGATGTCATGTGGTGAGCTGGATAAGCCTCCACGGCTCAGCAAGTGTCCCGCCCTCAGACAAGACTGCTCTCGGGGCAGTTCTCTCCCAAATTGCCACTGCTTAAGCCTCCTGCAGCCTATGACATCAGCTTACCCTCTTGGCCCCATCTGATGACACTGGCCAAATGGTAAGACTTTGAGCCCACAGTTAATAAAGAGATCTAGCCTAAATGTTCTGCCCAGTAAGGACCAATCAGCCAGCCAGCCAGCCACCTGACAAATATTTATTGCACATGAGCTCTGTTCCAAGCCCTAGACTGAACAAAACTCACACTGGCCCTGCCCCTTGGAGTGTTACACTCTAATAGGTGAGGCAGATATTAAACCAGTAACAGTGGTATAAAATCCCACTGCGTCCACAACAGGAATAGTCACCTTACTGGAGGACCAGGAGAAGCTTCTCTGGGAGGTGCTAATTGACCTGAGATCTTCCAGAAGATCAGGAATTAAAGGAAAGGACATTTCCAACTGAGGTTACACAGAGCACGTGCAAAAGCCCTGAAATGAGAGCGTGTGGGACGAGACGGTGCTTGCCAGAATGGGCTAAGCGCGTGGCTCTCAATCAGCGAGCTGCGTCTTTAAGACTGATGCCAGCCAGGTAAGGAAGCGCTTAAAGCAGGGATGAAACGGAGACCTCTCCCTCCAAAGTTTAACTCCCATCAACCTACCTGTCTTCATTTCTCCTTATCATGACTTAGGCCTCAACTGTCTGTCACCAGAAGCAGAAGCCTCCACCCATCCCTTCTGCCTCCCCCTCATCCCATGCCCACGCTCCAATTTTCTGTGCAGCAGCCAGAATGATCTTTCAAAACCATTGTTAAAGAAAAAAAAATTACTCGTGACACTTGTTAAAACGGTAAGGCAGACTTTTATTCAGGACTATTGCAATAGGTTTAGGAAGTACTGCAGTGGGGTTTTGCGGTACGGGAGAGAGATTGCGCTCAACTCCAAATACAAGGAAAAGTGGGTTTTTATAGCTAAGGGGCAGTGGAGAGGGGGTGGCATTACTAAGAGGTGGCATTCCTATCAGCAGTCAGGGGAGATTCTGGCTAAATCGGCTTAGCAGGATTCTTGCAGAAGGCAGGCCAGGGTGATGGGATATCACTTAGGGGTTAGTGGGGGATGAGGAATTTGGTCAAATATCAAGGGTGATCGGAGATACCGAGGGTATGGGATTCTGGCCAAACCGACTTGACAGGATTCTTGCTAAAACTGGACTCTACAAGGACAAAGACAGGAGCCTGGGGTCAAGTGTAGTCAAGCCGAGGGGTCAGAGGAGTCTGACTCAAGTCTGGTCAAGGAGAGAATCTTTGTCATCATGTGCCTCCCACGCTCAAAACTCTTCAGTAACTCCTTATTGCTCCTTAAATAAAATCCCAGCTCTTCTGCTGTGACACTTCAGATCGGACTTAACCGAATATAAGAAAACTCCGGCAAAAAGCTTATGCAAGTGGGAGGTATATATCTCTGACATGTAGAAGAAGACGGGTTAACGCAGCAGGTCTGTCGTCCTCGAAGACTTGGGTGTCTCATATTCTTGCTCCAACATCCTTTAACATTTGGCTTCTAGCCCCGAGGTTGCCTTATGGTCCAAAACAGCTGCTGGAGTTCCAGCCATCACACATCAGCTTGTTCGTTTAGTGGGAAGAGGAAAAAGAGTGTCTTCTCATCTCTCGAGTCTCAACACTATTATCTGGAGAAGACCCACCTCTCTCTGGGCTCCCCTTAGAGGTCTCGCCTAAAGCTTTCATCATTTCATCTACCAGTTAATTTTTTGTCTCCCCCTGTAGACTATAACTCTGGGAACACAAAACATTGTCCATTGGGCTCAGCACCTACCTCCAGTGCCCAGCCCTGCACAGAGTCCCGAGAAGCATTCTTAAATCGGTGACTGACTACACGAACAGATGGAATGACTGTGACATGGCTCATGTATGGAGGTGCCGAAACGCTGGGCAGTCTTGCTTAATGAAGAATCACCACACATAAACAGCTTCCGGCACCCCACCCTACACATGTGTAGGTGAAACACTACGTGGAATTGTCCCTCTGCCCCCACACGTGCACAGCCTCCCCCACTGTCAACATCCTCACCGGGCTGGTGCATTTGTTGGAGTGGATGAACCCACCCCGACACGTGGCGTTACCACCCAGCGCCCACGGGCAGGCCCGCCTCCTCCATGTGGCCAAATCCGGCCATCCTTTCCTGTTCAGCTTCTGGGGTTTTCACCCTGCTGCTAAGGTCAGACAAATAAATAGTCTGCAGCATTTCCTATTTCCTTCTAACTCCCACGCCATTTTGAGAGGCCATTGTACATCTTTCCGGAGCATATTTTGGTGAGTGGGGTGAGGAGGGCCCCCATCTGGCTGTGTTGAGCTTGGCAAGCAGGCTCCAGGGTTGGACAGCAGGTGAATGGACTCCCCGACATCTTCCCAGGATGCCTCTTTCTGGTCATTACACCCCAAACGAGGGGACCCTTCCCCCACCCCGAACCAAAGATTGTGCCTCCACAATCAGTCTGTTCCATCCTCTTCATCGTCAGTTCACCCTTCTGCCCTCATGAGCGTGTCTGGTGTCTGCTTCCCCCACTAAAATGCGAGCTTCCCAGGGCAGGCACCTCGTCTGCCTGGCTTGGTTTTCCATGCCTGACACATAGTAGGTGCTCAGCAAATTACATGTTGAAGAAATGAGGGCCACAGCAGTGCTGTGGGATGTAGAGACCTGTCGAGGATGAGGGGCCTGGTGGGTGACTCAGTTTCCCTCTCTGAAAAATGGCACCAGAAGATCCTGCAGTTGAGAGGGAGCTGAAAACTCCACCCTGGGCCCAGGGGGTAGGCCAGTGGAGGGAGGGTCCTGCCCTCTGCCCCGCTTCGCCTGGGCTGACCCGCCCCCCCGCCCCCCCAACACCCCCAGGCAGCTCTTGAAACTAGATGGACCCAGCCTGCTGTGTGAGCACACTCTGCACCCAGATGCCCCCTCGCACACCCCTCCCACATGGACACAGACACACGGGCCACCCGAGATGCATGGACACACGCACAGATACTCCACATACAAACACCTTGTGAAGATGAGATATTCATGGGCACACACACCCTGAGCAGATAAGACACAGACACAACACCAATATCTCCCA